TACCTATGATTCTGACTGGTCTTCCGTTTGACTTCAAACGATTGCAATTTCCAGTTTGCCTTGCGTTCGCAATAACAAGTCGCAAGGACAATCGCGTAGTGTTTGCGGGATAAATTTCAAATAGATTATTTAGAAAATCATTGTTTTTCATATGGGCAGTTATACGTTGCCTGTTCACGAGTTGGAAAACCTGCTTTGTTTGTGTTAATGTCAGACCAAAAAACAAAAAATGTGGTTTACCAAAGAGCACTTCAATGAAACGGATAATTTTCGGATTCACTTTCATTTACTTAGAGAAGTTCAACTAAAAACACTTTATTTTTGTAATCGAAATAAATTCATTACTGTTGTATAATAAAATCACATTTTTCCTTTTCAAACATAAAACAAATAAAAAAATTCTTCATCTTTCTCACGAAACCATCTGGTGGCGAAACGGAGTTCGTCGGGTTTGCTAGTTTATAATAAGAACCACGTTTTGGATATGTATTTTACCATCCCAGTTCTCATAAAAAATAAATTTGATCACCTTACAAATCCCGTTAGTTAAAATGTGTTTACGATTAAAAATATAAACCGTTAAAATCTGTTTATAATTGAATATTGGCAAATGCGCAAGCATATATTTCCGGATTACTAAACAAAAAAATAATCATCAGAAATCAAATTTCAATTTATACTCTATTCATACTTTTTGTAATTTAATATTATTTTTTTTCGTTAAGAGTATTCAAGTAAATACAATTAGAAGTTCAACTTACATAATCGATATTATTAGCTAAATATTAATATACTTTCAACATTTTGACTGAAATCACATGTCCTACGCCAACAACCGATTCATTTACCACTGCCATAAACATCGACACGTCTTTGGAAGTTTGCTTTGCAGGCCGTAACAGAACAACATAAACAATATCGAAACACCGATCGTACGGCAAACACACCACATATATAACATTTGTACACACGTTGTATATACTTACGAACTTCTATATATAATTCAATACCTCCAGAATCAGTTCGCGTACAGTTGAAATCCATTTTTGAACGACGTAAATCTCCGTTAATAAACACTTTTTAGAAAACAATTCCGAGTTAGAATAATTATGAGACAATTAACGACAAAACCATTATTTGATATTTTTTTAGTTGGTTTTTCGCGTCTTTATATTTGCATTACAAAAGTCGCGATCCTGCGATCTTACATGTGGCCGACGGACGCGATATAGCGCAATTTCCAGAAATAAGCCAAGAATGAAATTATATTGCACGTGTGGATCGTGTTCGGGCACAAGTAGCAATCGACCGTTCACTGGTCGATAGAAAACAAGAATAGGCATCCTGTATCCATGTGATGCACGATTGAGCCCTCGCGACGGAAATCAATCTTAGACTCTGGAGATCACAAACTGCTTAGGTATAATTTTTACCACTTCCCATAAAGGTTGTTTTCATTGCTCTTGTAAACAGGAGTCAAAATAATATTATTTTTTTGATCTGTTATGAGATTAAGACAGTGATTTCTAACCTGTGTGGCGCGCCCCCCTGGGGTACTTCTAAGAGTGTTTAAGCTCAAAAAAGAAATTGCTATATTTCTGCTGATAACAAAGGAGACGGAGCAATCTTGTTTTAGGACACAAAGTTCCTCGCAAAATTTTCGTATTTCGTTGATATTTTTCAAAGACTTAGCGATTTAAATAAATCAATGCAAGGATCTCAAATTCGTGCTTTTGTTCATAAAGACAAGATTACGGCTTTTATGAAAAAATTAGAACTGTGTATAGCTAGTATCAAATAAATTTATAACTTTAACATGTTTCCCACTTTTAAAATTACTTGTGTTACTGATGAAATAGAAGTAAGTAAAGATCTTCTTATTATATCAGTCATATGGCTAGTCTACGAAACCAATTTTTGCATCACTTTATCTAATTACGTCCAAATACGAATGGATTAGAAATCCATTTGTCATTGAGAAACATGATGATTTTGGTCATTCAACAGCAGAGCAGAAAATGATAATTGATTTATCTAGTGATAACACATTGAAGCAGATGTTTCAGGACGAAAATATATTGTTGAGTTTTGGTTACCAGTAAAGGACTATTTTCCTACTTTGACAAATAATGCTTTAGAAATTTTATTACCATTTGTGAGATCTTACTTATGTGAAGCAGAAAATTCTTATAATAAATAGTTATGTTTGTATGTATATTTTTTATAATACTGTGTATTATTTGGTATAATTTCAGTTATATTAAGTATATTTAAATTAAATTGTTAGAAAAATAAGAAGGGGGGGGGGCGCAATATTTTTTTCATTCGAAAGGGGGGTACAAGAAAGAAAAGGTTGGAAACCGCTGGATTAAGATAATAAGATTAATCCTAACCGCTCGGCACTTATTCAAAAACAATTTACCAGCAACTCGCTGCCGCATTCCGGCGGAAACGTACCTTGTAACCACTGAGTTACCGTTTTTGGCACTTTTTGCCCCGTATCTTTGGAACGGCTATACCTGCCTTCGCCAAAAACTAATGATTACGTCTCATTATCAATACGGATCGAATGCTTTTTAAACTATTTAAATTATTCCACACTGTCGAGGACATTTGTTTGAACCATATACGTGAATTTTAAAATTAAAAATCTTGGTACGGAGCCCCAAAAAATTCACACAAAATGTGTACACATTATTCAAATTTCTATAAAATATCTGATAATTTGATGTACATATGTCCATTTATCATTTTTTACCGCCAAATAACATTTATTTAACTTATTTTTATGGAGAGTTCATAACCATTAGAACCAATGGTGTTGTGGAGCCGGAATCATTCTTGGGCCGGAACGCGTTCCGGCAAAAAAATTAAAAAAAAATTGCTACATACAGAAAGTGATTTAATAAATTGCAATTTATTTAATTGTTATTAAAGGTTCCTATTATTGTAATAAACAAACATATATGCGCACAAAATGGGTTTTGTAATGATTTTTGTTTCTTTCCTTTTCAAACGGAATAAACATGAGAACCGGTTTTTTAATTTTAGCGTTTCGGCAAAAAAAATATTAGCACAATACCACTGATTAAAACCACCATATATAAGAAGATTGAAAAAGAAGCATCCCTTCGATCTAATGCCTCTATCATTCGTATATGTAGAACTCCAGTATTATTACTGGAGTTATACTAATCAGCACAATATATAATAGCTTATTTCATTTTCTGATTGCTATTCAATTAACAAAAAAAAAAAATTATACTGTATAGTTTCACTTTTTCAAAGAATTATAATGTTAGACTTACCTGTTTGCGGGGCCCTATGGCCTGATACCGTAAGTCTATATATGCAGGCTACAGGACAGCTCATTATAGCGAATTTACATTGTCATCTACAGGAAGACTCGAATTTCTTGTAATAAATTCTTGTCCGCTTTTGGTCAACAGTTGTAGCAATTTCATGTAGAACCTGACGTCGATGTCCTTTATCCGCGATAATTTTTGTAATATCTTATTGATTACTTCTTAGCAAATTTGAGAGTCAGAAGACTTGCGTTTTATTATTCGCTTTTTCTCATTTAGAAAACTATACCTATATATTTACTTCTCCTATTTGTTTCTAAGTTTTTTAATTTACTTAATTCTCTGCAATTTAACCACTTATAATTATATATATATATATATATATATATATATATATATATATATATATAAATCGTAAAATGAAAACAAAATTCCAAGAATCTTAAAAAATTGTTTCAACATGATTTGCTACACATAGCCGCGTTAGTTTTAGTTGCGCCTTTCTGCCGCAAACAAACATGCGCTTAAAAGATTGAATTAATTGTTGATTTAGGGCTCCCCCGTGGTCTAATGATTAGAAATATGAATTTCGAATCAGAAGTTTTAAATTCGATACCCGCCACGGACAACCTGATGTCAAGCAGATGTTATATCGGCTTTTACCTGGAAATATAGATGGAAATTTATTCAGTAAAAATAGCACAGCTTTGCTGCATCAATAAAAAAATTATCAATATTACATAAATCGAAATAATAAATTTATAAAGATAAGGTAATCGTTTGGGTTGCTGACTATAAAAAAAGCTAATAAACTCGTTAATTTCTGATTGCTGCTAGTAATAATTAATATACATATACAAATTTTTGATCTAAGACAGCGTAAACGATTATAACAAGTCCCATTAGACAATAAGAATTTAACTTATTAAATCAAATATAACCAAACAAAACGCAGTTTATTTTCGAAAACAACCCGCTTATATATTGTAAAGCCCATTATATTGCAATAATTATATGATATTAGAACAATGTTTTGTATTTGTTCCACAAGTTTTCAACCTTATGGTAATTTAGTTACTGCATGTAATTTATATACTGCACACATAAACCGAAACACATACACATGTAAAGACTTCTTTAAAACACTTATTACAGTAATTTTTGTTCATGTTTGACGCACCATATATTTTAAGTAACCTTACTTACCCTAGTAAAGATTAGCACTCAAAAAAGTAAAACTAATTGAAGTAAAATCAAACTCATCAAGGTTAATCTTCAGCGTACACCATGCAAGAACTAAATTTTTCTAGAAATCTAAATATATCATGTAAAAGAATGTATATATATATATATATATATATATATATATATATATATATATATATATATATTAAAACAAGTGTGTTCAGTAAAGCAATACCACCAAGTAAAAAAAAAACTGAAACAATTAGGAAAACAGCTTTATTAATTTCCTAATTGCTTTAGTTTTTATTTTACTTGGTGATATTGCCTGACTCAACACACTCGTTTTAATATATCAACACCAAATTTACATACTCCAAAATATATATATATATATATATATATATATATATATATATATACACATACATACATATATACATGTATATTTAAGATATCATCCATATATGTTGATACGTATGCAATAAAAGTGTAAATATTTTGTAAGTCTTTATTATGTATCAAATAACATTAGAATAAGATAATGTTTGATATTGTAAATTTTTCTAACTAGGGATGTTTGCCAAATAATCTTTCACTGTAGAAGCATCTAACCTCATAAATCCATTTTCATTACTAATACCAATCTCAATATTTTCTTCTGTCATTTTGCCTTCAAAACCTTCTTTTAATGTCAAAATGGCAGTGTGGACAGCATCATCTAATTCTAAATCAGAACTATAACGTTTCTCTAAAAATGTTTTTCCATTAATGTGATTTTTGCCCATTGCTGTAGATTTCCAAGCAAAATATGATCCTGATGGATCACACTGAAAAACGTAAGGTTTTCCATCATCCCAACCACAAATTAGGAGTGATACTCCAAAAGGTCGAACTCCTCCTGAATGAGTATATTCTTGCATTACAGTAGATATTCGCTGCACCAATTGCACAGTCGGTATGTGCTCCCCATTCGCCAAATAATATTGCTGGGCCATTCTCCGTGCCTTTTTAACCAATAATCTGTAATCGGGGCCTAAACCAGAATACACCATACCGATGTACTTAGATATTTCTTCAATTTTGTGAATAGTATTCTCTTCATATAGTACCGACTTATGCTTATTTTCTGTTGCTAAAACCACCCCATTGCTTGCTGAAATATTATCACATTTGATGAATTTAGCGTTATCGTAATTAAGTGATATACTACTCAGCTCTTTGTGAGATTTAAAATAATATTTAATAACCTTAAATTTTAAAGTTACAAACCTTTTATGGCAACTGATGGGGCCCCAGCCGCCACTGCAGCGAGAGCATATTCAATTTGCACTAATTTCCCCGAAGGGCTAAAAGTGGTTAACGAAAAACTGTATCTCTCAGATGTCATTATGCACAATCACTAAGCTTTAAGCGTTTAGGAATCACAAACAACTCAGCACTATTCCGGCACGAATTGAAGTTGGCGTTTGAATGCGGTTTGACAGAACAAAACAAAACAACTCTTGCCAACATTAAAATAAAATAATTGTTTCAGCGTATTTCATAGAATTCAAAATTATTGTAAAGTAGAAGCTATTATAAACAAATAATACCGTATTTTATATATATATATATATATATATATATATATATATATAGTGTAAATGAAACAAATATATGTAATTGGGAAATTAATTATGTTTTTGAAGTTAAACTTCTTCAGGTGCGACTAGGGTGTAAATCCGTACAAATGCAACGGAAGTGCGTTACGGACATAAGATAAGATAAGAGTCAAGTGCCAATGACTCGTCATTCGTTCTATACAGGTCGATTGTGATAAGTCGTCGCGTATGTGAATAGAGATCTGTCGTTGTATGCGTACTGATATCAACAAGGACATTGGCATAGATGAATAAACATTTTAAAGTTACTTTGTAGTACAAATGTTGATTTAATGAAAAATGCCTGAATCAGAAGAATATTTTACCTGCTCCTTAGAAATTATTTCTATATTATTCATAGTTTCTATAAATCTTTGAAGTTATTGAAATGGAAAATATTTTTTAGGCAAAACATATATTACAGCTGTTCAGAGAATGAGATTATACCGATGGTGAAACAGTAACAAAAATACCATCAGTCAATGAATGCATGTTAATTTTAATTACACAAAGTTCTTCAAACACAATTATTACATGAGTGGAATTGCGAAAGCAATATTTGTTTAGACGTTGTTTAATATAATCCACTGTGTCAACGAATATTATAGAGTTTATTAATCAGCAGTTACTTCATTTCTCTAATGAAGGTTCATTTCTAAATGCTAATTGCAATGACAAACCGATCATGTCATATTTGAAGTATGACTTTAATTACATAATTGTTTTTAAATATTATACATATTTTTATTGCTATTATAAATATATAATTTATAATTTATCATTATATAAATGTGTATAATGGTTGGCACTAATGAATATATGCATCACGAGTGTTACCATATTACTAGTATACATTATTCAATATTGTTATATGATGCATTTATTTTTACTTAAATGCCATCTTGTACAGTGGCAAATAAGTTTTACTTCAATCGCATGTGAACCTTGCACGCACTCTTTTTTTATTATTGTTACTATATTATTACTTTTAGTGATGCCAAACATCACTAAACATTATTAATTAATTAGAAAAATAATTTATTCAACTATGACACAATTGAGGATTATTTTGCGAAAATATTGGAAAACAATGAATTCTGATCAATTTACAGCTCTAAATTATAGCACTTTATTCAAAACAACAATCCCATTATGATCTTAAATGTATGTTAGATTTTATATTTTACTTTGGAAATAACACATGATAAATATTTTCTTCAAATTATTATTGTTTGATACTATCATGTTGTAGTTTTTCAAGTCTTATTGATAGATTTAGCAGATAAATATGACAAGCTATTTATGCAGATAAAATATGGCATTGTGACAAATAAAAATTATTACTTCCTGGATGAAATCAGTGTAACACTTTTATTTTAATCAATATGTTTACTATCTATTATCATATATTAATTTTTTACAACTTTTCTTGCTATCTTATGACTACCTAACTTCTTTTTAAATGGTTTTGCATTCCTCAGGTTATTGAGTATTTTATATTTGACAACTTTTTTCAACTCTCTTCTTGTGTCATTAAAAGTATCTTTGCCACCATTAGAAGAAAATGTTGTAAAGAATTTGATACCCTCTATAATAAATACATTCATTATTATAACTGAATTAGCAATCAATAAAAATGTAACTAACCACTCAGTCTTTGATCGCCTTTTATGAAAAAAAAATTTTCTCTCCATACGCCTGTACTAGAAATGTGGCCAATATCATGATTTATTAATTCCTTTTTTGACTTCAATGTTCCATTAGTTTCTTCTTCAGAGTCGGAAGTATCATATCGAAATGGATTTCTCCGGGAGTCTAAAGGATTGTCCATTTTCTGCTGCACTTTTTGAAACGTACTACCAGCGTTTTTATCTAAATCTACTGCTTCTATTATAATATAATAAAACTACATTATATGTAAATAAAAAGCAAGTATATGTACTTATGTGAACTTATGTAAATAATATATATATATATATATATATATATATATAAACAAAGTCCAGTAATCAGGCATAACATCAATAAAAAACATGAATTTCTTTGAAATATTTATTTTAAATCCAAATGTTTCGGATATAATCCTAACCTTCATTCAGTGGAAACTAAAAATAAAATTAAAAACTAAAGCAATTGAATTGGAGTGAAAAGAAAAAATAAAAAGAGTAAATAGTACTTACAATTAGTTAATCTTAGAGTTAAATTGGAAGATTTTAATAATCCATGGTCAGGATATGGTAATGCACTACACTATGTATTATAAACATTAAACTTGTAATTACACAACATTTTCACAAAATACTAATTTGAAAAATCGCAAATAGTATTTTATAGTTTTAAATTTTTGAAAGAAATTCATGTTTTTTATCGATATTATGCCCGATTACTAGACTTTGTTAATACATATGTCAACATCAAATTCAGAATCATACAAATATATATATATATATATATATATATATATATATATATATATATATACACCTAAGTCTGTTTTTACACGGAGATTGGTTCCAGAAGAAGCCGTGTAAAAAAAGACATTGATCTTATACAAAAATGGGTGGTTTGTCCTACTCTCTAAAACCTCTTAAAATTAGTGAAAAACAAGAATTTTCAAGAACAAGAATTCATGTTTATTTTAATAATAATTCCCCTAAATTAGTGCTATTCACATTTGCTTTGACCAGTAAAATTGTTTGTACGCACTAAAGGGGAATTTACTTAAATCTTTAAGCTAGTGTTCGCAAACTATCGATACTATCGATGGTTTCAGACTTTTTTCTTTCATAAATACTTTTTTTTGATATGAACATTCTTCGCAAAAATTAAATTTGACAAAAAAATTTAAGTACATAAAATTTCAAATCGTGCTAAATGGAATAAAATCGTGTAAAAAAATTAAAAATATTCAAATATCAAATCGTGTTATATCAAAACCGTGTACAAAAAGACCGTGTAAAAACAGACTTAGGTGTATATATTTATATATATATAAACAAAAATTCATTACCTTCTTCTAAATCAGCTTTTCCAAACATAGATAATAAACTAAATCCAGTATTTTCTTTAATAGCTTCCTTCAAGTTTTCAGAAACAGAATAGAACTTTTGATTTGATACTAATGGTTCTTTATCATTAGTTGAATTATCATCAATTGCTTTATCATCAATTTCAGATATTACTTTTGAATTTGACTTTGTATTTTTTTCATTTTTATTTAAAAATTTATTATGATCAGGTTTTGATGGATCATATCGAAGCATTGATTTCATCTTGATATCTTTATTAATTTGATCTTTGTTATAATCGATCCTTTTTCCAAGAATGTTTTCTAATATTTCAAATTGATGCTTTTTTTCATTTTCTAAGTTTTCTGTGTGTCTGGTACATCATTATTTTTTAATTCAGTTGTATCATCTTGCTCCAAAAAGTGAGAATCCATTGTGAAACGTTTATCATAACCAAATGTTGATTGCAGTTTCAATAATTTTTTACCCTCTTTGCCTAGAAATATCATTTTATATAATTCATTATGTTACTATTAGAAGTTCATCTTTTATCAATAAATTAATCCAGCATACAAATCCTACTATTCAAGCGATTCACAGACTGTTAAGAAGACTAAGCAAGAAATGGCCTTCCGATTTACCAAACACCTAGCCCAATGTCTGCACGCGCCCTGACTTAGTACGCGGTATACATCCTCACGTCATAGTTCATTTATGTTATTATTTTTGTATTACTGTTTTTATTTGTAACTTCTTTCATTTTATATTCAATTTATTGTATTTTTTTTGCACATATCAATTTTGTAAGTAAGACATTAAAGTCTTCATTAACAAAAATAAATTATAACAAAAAGAAAAAAATTATGTTATTACTGGTAAATTCATTTGCATTAGTAGTAAAAAATCATATGAGGATTATTTGTTAGAAATTTTGTTCAGATATAAGCATCTTACAATTTTGTTATAGTATGTTAAAGTATCAAAGCAAAGCTTTTAAGCATTTTTTACAAAGTTAACAATATTGAAAATAATTGGTTTTTCAAAATTTGGCTTTTGTTGCTGTCTTTATTTAGCATATAATTTTCAGCAAGTTTTGTTTGACCACATGGAATGATCTGTGTCTTCCAATGCACTATGCCAATGCAATAAGCAAACTGAGTGTATATATGGTTAATTAAAATTGAACATATATATATATATATATATATATATATATATATATATACACAATGTAAATACACATACACATAATGTAAATTTTTATATCAAATAGTTAGACAAAATGTATTCATTGGTAAAAACTTTATAATACTGTAATACACCGCTTAACACAGTTTTGTTTAGCGCTGTTTCAGTTTACCGCTCTTTTATTCAAGTCAATCTCTGCAGCAACTAGAATTATCTGTTCTAGAAATAATATGATAGAGGAAATAGAAAAATTATATAGATTGACGACAAAATTGACCGCCATGCCATTAAGCCAATATTCCTCTACTTTGATGGAACGTATTCCCGCATTAAGTGGTATTACTGTATACCTACCTTCAAATTGTTCTTTTAAATCAAATTGGTAATTTTCTTCATCCTCATTTTCATTTTCATCGAATAAAGCACGTCCTTTTTTTTGATTTTCTACTGACAGAACCATTTACATCATTATTATTCTCCATATTATCATCACAAAAACTATTTTATTCTTTGGAGTTACATCCTAAGGATTCAATAAATAATGAGTATAATTGATCCACCCAAATAATGTAACATATACAATACAACTACATTGAATTACAATTTTTAGAAAACTTTTCTGCAAAAGCATTTTTTGCTTGTTATACTGTTCCTTTTTCTCTTGCAAGGATTGTATTCTTTTTTGTTCGGCGAGCGTAGACTGTGGTGTTAAATTTTTCTTATGAGGCACATTGTTCTGTGAAACTATTGCCGGGCCATATGTAGGAATTTTTAATTTCTATAAAAATTGGAATCAAATGTAAAATAACATATTATTTACATGTAAAATTATGTGATTACCTCTGGGTTCAAAAATGAGTTATGCTTATTAGATTTAATAATGAAACTATTGTCATCAACAGGATCATCAACAGAATCAACAGTTTTCTTATCATTTCTAGGTTTTTCACTTTTTCCCTAATAAAAAATATAATATAAATAAAAGACAGTATTAACAGATTAAGTAAAAGATTATATATGTAGGTATAATACTTGTTCTGGTTCTGAATCTGAAGAACTGCTAGAACTTTCTGAGCTTTCACTATCTTGTCCCTCTTTTACTATGGTAGTTTTATTTTGTTTTACTGGTACAGGCAGTGTTTTTGAAAGTTGCTGGATGGGTTGCTCAATAATTTCATCATTTTTTTCTATACTTTTATTCAATTTTTTACTCAACAATTTCGCTTCCAATCTTTCTCGTTGAAGCTGTTCAAGAAAACTTTCTTTGGCTAAAGCGACTTTAAGAAATTTTCCTTTCCACTCTTGTTCTGAAAATTCTTGTATACCTAGACAATTTTAAAAACAAAACATATAAAATCATGTTGAAAATAACGAAAAATTATAGAAGGGGACATATCTAACATTTATTTAAACTCCACGTATCTATATCCATATTTATAAAAGCAAAAGTGTTGGCTTGGCCTTCATTCAAATTATCTTTTTTCTGCTTAATTTCAACATTTGTCACATTTCCATAAGCAGAAAATTCATGCCGAATATCGTCTTCATTTATATCTGTAGGTAAATTTCCTACAAAAATCCGTCTATTCGTAGCCATTTTATTAAACACAATCTAATAATAATTTCTCTAAAATCAAATAATGCAAACTCTAATTAATTATAAAACAAATAACATATTTAACCAATAACAAAAAAGTTGTGGATCATGGATCATATCATAACCCCGTCAAATAAGCACGTGTTGTTTTTTGACAAGTGAAGCAATACAAATTTTGACAAGTGAAGTTTGTTAAATTGTCAAATAATAATAATGGACACCAACTGCATAACTTTCGTGAAATTTGCCATAGATTCAGAGCGGTAGGGAAAGTTACGACCGCTACGGCGCGATGGCGCTTTAATTGCATATCGCTCAGCAGCCCCGCCCGCGCTCATAAATGCATTCAAATTAAAGCGCCAAAATTAGAAATGAAAGAAATGAACAAAAATTGGCAAATTCGCGAACTGATGATATTAGCGCATAAATTTTCATAAAAAAGGAAATGCAAGAAGCCATTTTTAAAGAAATATATAATAAATCCCCAATTGAATTAATATATTTATCGCTTTATACCTCTTAACTATTAAATTAAACTTACAAAAAAACCTTTTTTTTGTTTTTGTTTATAACACTTAATGATGATTTTGGCATACCTTTGAAACCATTGATGAAAATGTGTGTAGTAGATATAAATTATGAAAGGGATTCATTTATTTAAAAGAATAAAAAAAAATAATAATAAAAGCAATGGTGTGGGGAGCATGTATTTAGGAAAGGTAGATTCAGCATTTGATTAGCATGAATCCTCCATGTATTAAGTTTTGTGCAATGTATGTCCAGCAGTAGAAATAAAGAAGTGCAAAAAAAGGTTTTTGGTGTTTATATAATTATTAGCATTGTCAACATTAATAATAATCAGTATAATCAATGCTACTAAACTTTTAAACACTGATGTTGAAGTTTTTCAAAATTTATCTAAATTTCTTTTGATGTAATGTTTTTCAATAATACAATATAATTATTTACTAGCATTATACAAATATTACTCATCAACTTTTATTAGGTACTATTGAATGTGTCACACAACTCAGTAGCCTGTCCCATCAATGTTCTTAAAAAAAAAAAAACTTAAAATTGTTCATTGTTCAACATATTTCAGATTTGAATAAATATATAAATACTGTAAATAATTTTTGGTAATTACATTTAGTATTAAAAACTCTTATTCTCATATTTAAAATCTCAATGCATTTGATAGTTTTTATTCCTCAAAGATTTGTTCATGAAACAGCAATTGCCTTAAGGCACAATGCTATACACTAGTTATTAAAATAATTTTTCTTAAAGTTATAATCTCATTGTGACTTCCTTGTATATACAATTGACATCATATATATATATATATATATATATATATATATATATATATATATATATATATATATGAAAGTAACTAGCAGCCTATTCGTCGAAATTAAAAATGTAATAAAGTATTTAAACCTTTTATTTATGTTTTGACACCAGGTGCGTGCCATCACTCAGCAACTGCAATAAATCAGGTGTCAAAAAGTATAAATAAAAGGTTTAAATACTTTTTTACATTTTTTATTTTGACGAATGGGCTGCTAGTTACTTTGGAATATGTTTCATCTCGTCGAAAAAACTATCAAGATATATATATATATATATATATATATATATTTTGTTTGACACTGAATATGTTAAAATTACATATATATATATATATATATATATATATATAAATTTGTTTCCTAAGTAAATTGGTTACTATTATTTTTTGAAAATATATTCAATGTCAAACAATAAAAAAAATATAAGTACAAAATTTCACATCATTAATGGTTATACATTTATACACTGATTTTTATCTTCATCAATGTTGACCACAAACATTTTATTTAGCAATCCATCACCCAAGTACACTTTACTATTGCTTGATAATAAACTTTCATATCGTTTTAACTCTAAATATTCTTTAGTGAGAAGAATTTTGTTTGCTTCTGCTTTTCTAGATGATTCATAAAACTCAGAATCAACACGAGTTTTTTCTCGTGCTTGTTTTATTTCATTTTCAATCAGTTCAATGCGCTGCAATGATTCGGCCTCCAATATTTTTTGTTCATTGACAATCTTAGCAACTTCTGCTTGTTTTTTAGCCTCAATTATAGATCGCATTCGTTCTGTTTCAGCTTCTTTTTCCACTACCTAATTTGCATTCACCAAATTATTTTCTATTTATTCATTACAAATATCATAAATATGGAATTTATGAACAAATTAGAAATAATTAATTGAATTAGATTGTATTAAACGCAAAATTTTTAATGCCAAATAAATAAATTAAACTTGCACTTCTAAGTGCATTAATATTAGAGAAAGATTAAATTAACTGCATGCATTATCAATAAATTTTGAAGATAATTTCATAAAATCCTTAAATAATATGTTATATATATCCTTCACACCATTCAATAAGAAATTTAAAACTGTGTCACATAATTTTTAACAAAGATCGTACATATATACCTTTTGATGTTGTATCGAAATGAGAAGCTTAGTTTTTTCTCCTTCCATCATTTCATAATTCTTTCGAATAGTTTCAGGTATCTTAGGTTTAGTAACACGCACTCCTTGTATAATTAAACCAGAGGCCATTTCATTTAAATCCTTTTGCAAAGCCTAAAATCATATAAAAGTTTTAAATTTCTCTATTGTAAACTATTACTTTTTGGATCGGAAACATATATTTGTATACTCTTTTTAGGTTCCCATCGATCTGATCAAAATAATCAATATAAACTTCATGTAAAGTATGAACACTGCAGAATTTATTGAGCTCATGATGAACTTTGTCAAAAATAAGAACTTTATCATAGTCAACAGTATAATTTCTAACAATATCATAAACTGAAAAAAATATTAAGAAATAGCAAACTTTTATAATATTTAAATGCATTGATTCCATTGATTATACCGCTGTTAGAATTAAGTATATTAACAACTTCTATTCGGTCAAAGTAAATTATTACACACCACCACTTGTGCCACATGCCACATTTTTCACTTCATCAGTCTGTATTGTTACCTAAATCAATTTAAATTTTTAATATCATTTTTTTTTTTTAAATAGATGCCACTAGTTCTTTACATACCTGCACAGACTTATACGATGTTAGAAAAGGTAACATCAAATGAAAACCTGGGCTGCTAATTTGTTGCAATAATGCACCACCCTGTAAATTTCCAATTATTATTTTATTTTGACCAGAGTAGATGTCAGTAGATTAATAACACGTAATTAAATCATTTTGAACCTATTATGTAAAAATTTTATTTCCTCTTACTTCTAATAAGTAATTTATTTATCAAGCCATATAGAAGTAACTTCTATAAATGTTGCATAAGTTTTGTGTTCACTTTTTGAAAGAACAGAGCGCCCGATTTGAGTAATTCAAAAAATATTATTTGTATAGACGAACTGAACACATATGCACATCAAATTATCAGATATTTTATAGACCTTTTAATAAAAAGTATAAATTTTGTGTATATTTCTATGGCTTCCGTACCAATGTTTATCCGTTCGTCTATGATGCGGCGCTTATGCGCTTCGATATTTCATCTCTAAAACAGCTATGGAACACGATTGCTTTAGAAAAAGTTCAAAATTTTCAAAAGATTTCAAAATAGAAAAATAAATTTAAATTTTTCAAATATTCAAATATATTCAAAAATTTCAATTTCTCAAAAACCTAATTTTTTCAAACTTCGAAAAATTTTAAAGCTGTTTTAAAAATTTTAATTGTCGGTATGGGAAGTGACATCAATTTTTTTTTAAGGCACAATGCCATGTAGCACTAGTTGTCATTTTGTTTTCTCTTTATAAATTATTTTAACATTTATTTACATAAATATTTGGATATCAGAATGACAAGACATTCTAATACCTAGTTTAGCATGTTCCTCATGTAATTAACTATATTATATTCCTAAACATTTATATTTCATACCCTGAAGTAAACACCAACATGTCCTTCTTCCACCTTATGCAAAGAATAATTAACACAGACTATTGTAACTAAAACTATAAATAATGGAACAGTAACTTGATCAGACATAATTGTTATTATGATATTATAACATTTCCTTCTGCTATTGTTTTGTTCTGCTTTTGCGGTGCTTGCTCGTAATTATAATGTAATGCTGAGATCTATAATATCACCTACAATTTAAGATACGGTACAGATTATTCAAATATTTGTTCTTTAAAGTCAGAGATAAATAATATAACAGGTTATATTTTTACGTTGATATCATT